CCGTAGATATTGGTAATGTTCGGCTGGGCCCGGTCGACAACGCGGTCCGCCGTGGTGTGGAAGCGCCGAGTAGGCGTCTCCGTTTCGCTGCCAGTCCCAGGCACAGCCGTTGAGTAGACGACAGCCATGGCAAGTAAGCAATAGTAGTGGTGATTAGTAAAGCAAAGTGAAGGAAAAAAAAGTGATACGTGCGCGATAGAAAAAAGTGTCGAAATGAAGAGACAGGGAAGGAAAGAGGGATGTGGAACGTGCGGAGGTCAATCTTGTCGAGCATTAATGGCCCGCAGCTGCTGCTTATATAGCCAGCAGCAAGCCATCCAGCCTTCTTTTTCTTGCTTTTCCTTTATTAGCGGAGTGGGGCGGCTGGAAGCGAGAGGCGGAGACGGGGGCGCCATGCGCGCCGGTTCCGCGCCGCCTGGTTGGCCCCGCCTTCGTTTTTTTGTCTTGTCGTGGAGGCGCCAGAAGATTGCCCATGTCTTTTGATCAAGGTTCCCATGCACAGACCGTTCTTCACTCGGAGTGTAAAGATTGCCGCCGCCCCCGAGCTTCGTCCGGCTGCCGAAACATGGCAAACACGGCCTTGAACATATTCTGGCGCGTGCGCTGGCGGTCGCCGTCCGCCTGACGGGCGCTAGGCAGCGACTCGTCCATAGGCGTCAGCGACACAAACAAGGCCAGCGGCACCACCCACACGCAGAAAAACATCAGCGCGCATACTTGGCCGAACGGGTACGCCAGGAGGTTCTGGATAAAGTAGAAGAACCACATAAAGTGGTTGCCTACGGCCAGCACGCAGCTGCTCAGGAACGCCATGCTGGTGATGTGCACAAGCGGGAACATCTCCAAATTCAGAGTGTAGATGTGGTTGGCGCACACCGACAACGCCACGCGCCACAGGCTGACGCCGTCCAGCGCCGCCAGCAAGTGCACACAGTCTATTGTCCACACGAGACATTGAATTAGCTTGCGCGTCTGCCGTGGGTACTCTTCTACCCACTCTGATATAACGTATAGCCCGCAGCCTATCGAAAACACGACGAACGTCGCGCCTAGCACCCAGCCCAGCGTCGCCAGTGCGCCCAAAAGGACCGCCATATTTATTTCGAGCAAAGGCCGATTAGAGAGTTTGAATTTGCAAGGCAGGAAAGGAAGGGAGGCAAGAGCCGACGCATAAGCTACCAGCTCCAACACAGCGACTCAATCATCAGCAGTTTGGGAGGCTAAATAAAAGGAAGCTCTGCTCGTCGCTATTCATTCACCACATAACAACCAACAACAAAAAAAGCATGTTCGCTAGACACACCTTGTCACGGCGGCTGCTATGTGCCAGATGTCTGCTACATACCAGCGTGCCTTGCCCAACACTCTGGTCGTTTCTCGATAGCAAAGACAGCATGCCAGATCG